GCTGTCAGCCCAGGCCTCACAGAGAGGCCCTGGGCACTCCCTGCAGCCTGACCCCTCTACAGCTGCATCTGCTGTCAGAAGGTTTTGTCTGGGTCCAAGCTTCAGACGCAGCTGATGCAGCAACTCCAGCAGCCACTGGCGAGTGTGCTCTGCAGCATGTCACGACCATACCTGAGGAAGCACACACTACCTCAAGAAATGAAGGTGCCTTCTGGCACCCTTCTGCACCAACTGCTGCCTCCTCTCACTGCACTCTGGGAGCTGCACTCTAGGCCTGGCTCTTACAGAGGCCTCTGCCTAGCAGTGACTCACAGGGTGCCTGACCCACCCTAATCAAGGGCCACCTGGATCAAAGGCCCCAACTCCCTCTCCTCAGGGGCAACCCAGAGAGCTCGCTAGCAGCAGCCGCACCTAGCTACAACTTCCCAGGAGAAGTCAAGGCCTCCTGCAGTTGTCCCTGCCTAGCTCTGCTTTCCTGCTAGCAGCAAGCACCGTCTAGTTCCTCGAGGGTCCCCAGAAAGCCTCCACAACTTCCAGTAAGTCCCCCAAGGGACTGTCAGGATATGTGGTCTTGCAGAAGCTGGTGGGACATGCTTCACATGAGAGCAGCTGGGAACCTCCAGCTAGGGCAAGGACAAGAGGTTGGGTCACTCCAGTGTGGACAAGGAGAAGGCATGGGTATGTTGCATGTCTGCGGTGAAGGTCCAGGAGCAGTGCTGTGCTGCTTGCAATGCGTCACACGGAGGAGTGTGCAGCTACAGTATGGGCATGGGAGAATGCACATGCACGCTTTGGGGCACAGGTACAATGCACATCTGCAGATGTGGGAGATTTGCAGTGCACGTCTGGGATGGAAGGGAATGAGAAAGAGCACAACCACAGTGCACTGCACAGGAACGGGCAGGTCTGCAGCGTGGGAACACAGGAGAACATACATCTGGGATGCTGACTGCAGGAGTGGCATGTTTATCTGTGGTCTGAAGTGCAGGGTCACAAGTACAGCGCGAGCATCTGTGGGTTGGAGCACGCAGGATGGCACATCTCTGGTGCGGAGGCAGAGCTGCGCATGCCTGGGCGGCGACGGGGACCGCTGGGCTCTGTGGGATGGGCAGAAGCAGTGCCCCACCTGTTACACAGCACGCAGCTGCTCTGTGCCACTGCAGGTGCGCAGCGGAAGCTGCAGTGCACACCCCTGCGGTTCGAGGCGCGGGGGCAGTAGCCAGCTGCGCGCAGACATGGGAGTGCCCAGATGCGGGCAGGCAGGCGTGTGCTGGGCACACATCTGCAAAGACCGCAGTGTGTTTTACAGCTGCGTGCAAGGCAGAGGCGAGGCGTTCAGCTGCACACAGGAATACAGTCTGTTGTTCCTGTGCAGCACAATGCCCATTTCTTTGTGTGCAGTGCCAGTTTCAGCAGCACCGGTCCTAATGTGGTGCTGCACCCAGCCCTAGGCTGCTGGGCCCGTTTCCAGCCCTGGCAGTGCAAGATCCAGCCTGGGCAGACGAGACCAGCGCTAGCTGTGGAGGTGCAGTGTCCAACGCCATGCCGGCGGCGCTGATTCTGGCACCGGTGCGGCGCCCGGCCTAAGCAATGCTGGTGCTGAGGCTCACGGTGCAGTGTCTGGCCCCAGGCTGGCCCCAGAGCCAGAGCAACGGCGCAAAAAGGCCAGCAGAGCTGGCGTTGCTGGAGCCGGTTCCCCTGCCAAGCTCAGAGCAGCGCCCAGCCCCGCGCTGGGGACGCCGCCAGGCCCCGTGCCGTGTCCCAGGGCCAGGCGGGCCCAGTCCCGCTGCTGGTGCCAGTAGCGCAGCGCACCGTCCCCAC